CACAATCTATCTATCCATCCAAATATCTATATTTATATATTATATGTTCACATATGATGAGTGTTGCTATATACGAAAATGTACACGATTAAAAAAGCGCAAGTGTGGTGCTTAATATATGTCACAATATGCAACAAGACATTAAGGAAATTTTGAAACTATTTCTACAAGTATACCTCTTTTGAAATCCAACTTACTATTATTAAATTTACTATATTAACTGCATAGTTAAGGGTGTTTCCAGTGGCCTAGAGGTTCGAGACCCCAGACTATATCGGCTTTTTATGGACTCTTGAGAAACGCCCTGCCAGATTCCGCATATTTGACATTTTAAGGAAGTATTTTTATTTTTTTCCTACATGTTAATGCTCCCTTTAAAAAGCTCCTCTCAGCAAATGTATGGGGCAAAAAATGCTAATAAATACACCGGGGCCCTTTAAAGGCCTGGGGCCCCTGGCATTGATGCCATTGGGTGTATCTAAACATTGTTGGCTGTCCTGTTATTGTGGAACTTATAGGTTGCTATTCCAATTATAACATCCAAAATTTCTTTCAATTACTATGTCGCTTGGATTCACAACAAAGTATTCATAGTCTAGTGGTTAAGACATCTGCTGTGTATGCGAAGATCTTAGGTTCATGTCCCAAATGAGTTGGTTTTAGTTTTCATAATTGGTCAAACTTAACTTCTGCTATGTTTTATTAATAATTAATCATTTCATTAGCTTGTTCTGGATATGTAATACCAGTAGCGCATGCCCAAATCAGAATAGTTTATGTAGTTTAAGTCGCAATTATCTACTCTGTTTGAAGCCTGGCTTTATGCTGTGTGGAATTATTATTATAATATGTCTGGGTTTTCCCATAAAAATATGTACTGGCTAGAGAAAAAAAAACAAAAAAAAACAAATAGAAATGCTGTAGGAAATAGTGTCTGGATCTTGGGTTCAAGATAAGATTGAAAGCGAAAGCTAAGATTAAAACGTACAATAACTGACAGTGATACACAAGAGCTTTCAGATATCTCATGTACTTTGTTACTGGTAATATATTTTTATACTTTATGTATGTTCAATTTATGTATTTGTATTTGGAAAGTGGAACCAAATATATTAAATGTGCTGTATCTATGTAATATGAAATTTTACTGTAAATTAAAATAATTCAGAATCTAATTAAAAGCCTTTTATAATAAATCATATTTCATTATTTGTTTTTATAAAATGTTTTAATTAAATTTGATATTTTTCTTTTATTTTATGATAAAAATTTAGATACAACCACAATTTAATTATAAATTTAAATTGAGGTAAAACAAACATATATTCAGTATTGTCACTTCGCCCCAAAAAAAAATCTATGTACAATTATTCAGAAAGCTGCTTATAGATTCCGACCGTGTCAGTGCGTTGCTACTGTAAAGCTATGCCCCATTTAAGTATTACATTAACATTATTATTATTACTCTTAAGAATTATTGTTTTAGTAAATGTCAGTGGCTGGCTGCCTGAACAAAAACAATCTTTAGCTTCACTCGCAATCACTAATGAGCATAACCGACAGTTGACCTTAAAACCTGGCAACGTACTTCAGGCAACTTTTAAGATTTTCATCTCAAAAGCCATGTATGCAAAAGGCATCATATTTAATTCCAATATTAAATACTCGTGTCTAATTTGCCTTTTGGACGTTTAGTTGCATTAGGCCATTTTTAGCATATTATTTTAATGTAGTTTTAAGTAGATGTACAGTATATTGTTTATATGGATATCAAATAAATCATGAATGAATATTAAGAAACAATTTTGTTTAATATACTTTCTCCATTATACTTAAAATCCAGATTTTTCATAGGAATGGATATTTATATACTGTATATGATTGTAACAGATAGTCGTAGAAAAACAAATGCATGTTTCAGGTTTCAAATTTCAAGGAGTACTGGTAATTATGTTGTTTTTTTTTATTGGTTTCAATAAGTAGTGACACTTTGAACTCCATATTTGCTTTCTGATAAGTATTTTTTTTATGAATTTTCTACTGTCCAATAATAGAGTATAAATATAGGTTATTTATATAGAGCCTTATACAATCTGCAGATCATCTTAAGGAATAAGAAAAATGGGCAATACATGGAATATAGAAAGAGGAAAGAATAGTTATATGTTTATGCTTTACTGTATATTCTTGTGCAAGGCAATCCGCGTAGAAGACGACCCCTGATTTTTCAATCTTTTTGCTGCTTTTTACAGTCTTAATAGAGAGTGTATATTACCTTGTGTGCAATGAACGCTTTGAGAAACAGGGTTTTAAATACAGTGTTAAAATGAATAAACAACACAATGAAGACACAAGCATTACTGGTTACTAAATTATTCTTCGTATTTATTTTTATCGTTATTTTCCTTCACGTTTTTCTTTATCTCTTCATTATTTTTTTCTCTACCACTTATTTGGTTCCAAGTGCATTGCCAAGTTAATTTGTTAATAAGTCTTATTATGTTATTTACATAATAAATATTTCATATCATAATGTACTTAATCTTTTTAATGCAGATTCATCTTACTAAAGCTTGTATCCATATCTTTCTCCAGTCAATCACTCATTTCAGGTGTGCATGTGTTTTCTGTGTGTCATTTTCAATATCTTTGAATGTCCACATGATAGTGACCGATGTGTCTGTGTGTTTAAACTGAAGATGACTTACATATGAACTCATTTATTAAGATACAGTAACTGTTTCTTATTACAAAGTTATTGACTGTTTGTTTTTCCTTATGGTCTTATAAGCAGGTGTCTTTAGAGTATTGCTAATACTAGGGATATTTTGATTTCTGACAGCGGTAAAGACCGACAGTAGAACGTAGTAACATTGCATGCAAAAACTGAGCTCTTGTACTCTAAATTCTAGAAAGAGGTTTGTTCAATTCTAAGTTGTGCAGAGGAGATCAAACACTAATGGTCAAGTGAATCAGTCCAGGTCAAGCTGTCATTGCACATTTCATGTTTCCTAATATTTAAAAAAAACCATAAATGTTCTCCTAACCTGTACTACGCCAACTCTGCTTGTTATTGATATTCATTGTACCACTTTAAATATCGGTGCAATAGTACTAAAAGTGCCTACAGTATAAAAACAGAATAAATAAATAAAGTTTCAAACATCAAATATACGTGCATTGACAGTGGCGTATCTAGACGTCTTGGAATGGGGGTGCTGATATGGGGGTTTGATGATAAGTTGAGGGGTGCTAACTCGCAAAGTAAGGTGATTTTAGGTGGTTTTTAGCTACTTGCAATTGATTTGGGGGGGGGGCGCGACTGGGGGAGGCACTATTAATTTTTGGAGGGGCGTGCATGTTAAAAATGTAATTACATTCATGTATTATTTGTGAAGAAATGACAGAATGCCTGTGATCTTAAGTAAGATAAGTAGTACCGCAGAAGTCCAGCTATTTGCTCAATATTGTTAGCATGGTTTATCCCACCTGTTTGCAATCGCTCTGCAGTGTCTGCTTCTTTGGTAATCGCTAAAGTTATTTGCTTAATCTTGCTTTTACAGGTGGTCACCTTGTTTTTATTTTGGTTTTTTTCGTCTGTTTGCTGGACATCAAGCGCATAGGGACCTCATTTATTTGCGCTAAGCCACCTATTAATTTTATTATCTAGGGAAAATTAATGAATTATTAATGAGGATGACCAGGTAGATGGTTATCTAGAGAATCACGACCTGTCTCAGTTGGGTATATGTCTGTGTATGTCTAGACAATTTATTATTTCCGTTAAGAGGTTTGTTTAAGGACTTAAATATATCTTATTTATATAATGCAGTTAAAACCTGCACAGAGTTTACAGTAGGGGATGATAAATCTTGCTACTTACCCTAATAATTTAATTTATCTGCAGAACTTTTCCTAAAAGTTCTGTGAAAATTCTTTAAATGTCACATAGTTTAATGAAATGAGATCTATAACACTACTGACTCTAGTTAACACCATAACCTTTTAAAAAAAATCGTTGTGTATTCTAGATAGAGACAGTCCTACATAAAGATAATGGCTGAAGGAAATTGAAGTATTTTGGAATTGGAGCTACCGTATAGCTTGGTGGTTTAAGATGCTTTTCTTCAAACTTAAGATCATGGGTCAAATTTTGTGTCCAAGATGTTGTCTCAAATAATAATAAAGCAATACATTTTCATAAAAACATGTTTTAAGTAGATAATGGTTTATCTTTCAACTGCTTATTTGCAAAAGGAAAATTCTTATGGTTAAACTTCCTATTTGAATCCTTTTTTGGTCCGCGTGAAGTGCTAACCCAGAGCCCCACTGCTGTTCTTGTTACCAAAACTTCCAGCGTCGCCAGTTTTGAATGGACTTGCATGAAATTTTGTACACATAAACTAGAGGTGATTTCCAACAAACGTTCATCGCCCTTTTTTTAAGTTGGACCCCAGGGTTCCCCCTACACCTACTAAACTAAACAGGGGTTTCAGCAAGGACTGTGCATTACTGCCATATAAAACTACTGTACCTCAATACAAATGATCATTCTAAATATTTTTTTTTTTTTTGTAAAAATAAACATTCTAATTATTTAAAAATTTCTATCTTATTAGGTCCTCCAAAAGACCTAATATAATAACTTGCACCTGTACCATATTTAAGCATGGAGGAACGCGCGGACCTGGTGAGCGGTCGCTCTTGTTATATGCTTGCCTTCCAATCCCAGGGTACAAAATTCATAACATACATCTCCTCATAAGGACATAAAGCATATGATGTGTTGTTAAAGAAATTGCCACGTACTACAAAACGTGATGTATTCACCACGGTGCATAAATAATCAATAAATAAGAAACTTATTGAAATACATTCATTAGTGATTATCTTTTGTGATTTGTTTTCTTTTATAATAATTTAGAGTTAAATCATTTAATTATTATGAGATCAGACGTGATCTAATGTCCCAAAATGTTGTCCTGTTTGATTTCTTGTAGGATTTATCAAGTACAATGCAGTCACCCACAGCACCGAAGCCCCCAGTGACTCTCAAACTTGTTGTACCTGCAAGTCAGTGTGGCTCATTAATCGGCAAGCAAGGGTGTAAGATTAAGGAGATTAGAGAGGTAAGTTTGACAATGACCCTCCATCATCATCATTATATAGATGCTGTTTTGCGTATCAATTGAGTTTAAATATTTTAAACAATGTTTACACTCACATAGGATAAATCAATGTCAGGGAATAAAGTTTTATTTGATTGTGTTTTTCCGAATTTGAACCGAAGAATTTACAACAATTCTATTGGATTGTTGAAACACACCAATGATAACCCACGATAGACCTAAGTTACTTCCAGTGGGTCCTTCTTCTGGTGGTGAATTGGGCAGTACATTTGGGGGGGGGGGGAATAATCTGCTTGTTTCCAAAGGGTATAACTATATTTTTAAAATGCACATAAGCTATAATACACACAGTACCAACAGGTAAAATAAATCATCCCAAAGACAATATGCTATTGTAAACTTCCAATTACAAAAATGCTGAAACACTGGTAGAGCAATGGTGGAAATGAACTAGGAGGACCAAAGATCTGAAGGATCTCTACAGTTCAGCACAAACACAGTGGCTACCACGTTTAGCCCATCTAAGGTGTACTAAAGGGTATCCATTCAGTGACTAGGCTTTCTCTCATAATGTAATTTGTTTCATCCATGTTTATTTTGGATGTACTCCATGGTAAACTTACTCTTGTTTCTTCTTTCTAATGCAGAAAAAAATTGTACACAGAGTATGAGGTGTTTCATGGTCAATCTTATAGTGAATATGAGTAAAATAGATTTTATAATAAACCTTCATATTTTTTCAGTGGTCTCAACATGCCTATGTTATTATAACCACCCAGCCATTGCATACATAAACAATCATTAACAATGTGCTCACTATGAAGTACCTGTGTATGAGTATTTATTACTAGTATCGAGATGTGGTGCCAGGATTTGCCAGACGGGGTGTGAGGGCAGGTTTGATCAGGGGTCAGATTTCCCCGACGAGAGCTAAGTGGGCTTGGTCAAGCACCATTTCAAAGGATTCAAAAGTGGTTCAGTGGATGAAGCCCCCGAAAATTTTGACATTTTAAGGTTTCCAAAGGCTTATTTAATCGATGTTAGAGTCTACTAATATGTAGAAAATAAATATAATTATTTTTTCTCCCAGACAAATTGCGATTTTTCTCCCCGACGGTGGGGGACAGCTCTCCCCGCTGTCTTGCAAAAATCAAACAAAAATCATTCCAAACAACTATGAAAGCCAAAAAAATCATGTTTGTTTTCAAACTTGCAACATGCAAATTGTTTTCCAATTGCAACAGGACTTTTTGACTAAGTAAAGTAGTCATGTCAGCATTGATGAGAAAAAATTGTGTAGAAAATCTGAAAAGCTTAATGACTTGTTTATCAGGATTCTGAAGCGCATTGGCTTGTCATTGCTGGAAGGTCTTTGAGAAAGGTCATGAACTGTAGGTGTACAGCTCAATATGTAACAAAGTGGTACAATGGTAACATTTGACAGATTTCTTTAGAAGACCCAAGACTTTAAAAATGTCAGGTGTATTGGTTACAAATGTAAATGGTATCATCCTACGAATTGGCGAATAAAGAATATTTTCCATGAATGACGATGTTATAAACTCGAGCCAAAGATAGAATCACGTTTTTATGCAGACTTGAAAATGTGCCGGTAGGCCTCCACATTAGTTCAGCCATAGCTTAGGCTTTGGGATTCGTCATCTAAGACGATTTGATGCCGCAAGAAACATTGTAAATACAACAAGCTTGATAATTATGCACTTGGTGGTGTTTCCATGGTAACAGTGATGTTAGCTAAAAGCCGTTACGGTAACTTTATATCTCTAGAAGCCATTGGTTTTTATCTGGATACACACATTTTATTAGAAAATCATTTGTGGGTCTTTTTGTCAGAGAAGATTTTATATAGCAGATCAATTTAATTGTCAATAAGCAATATTACAGCTTTTGATTATGGCTAAATCACAAATACACATTTCTATTCCTCTTTTTTTCTCTTTTTATTCCTTCTATATTTATTTCTATATAAATTTTTAAATTAAAATATATATATCTGAATAAAATGACAGGTAATTAAATTTTTTGTCAGAGAAGATTTTATATAGCAGATCAATTTAATTGTCAATAAGCAATATTACAGCTTTTGATTATGGCTAAATCACAAATACACATTTCTATTCCTCTTTTTTTCTCTTTTTATTCCTTCTATATTTATTTCTATATAAATTTTTAAATTAAAATATATATATCTGAATAAAATGACAGGTAATTAAATTTCAGATACAAACTAACTTTTTGTCATATATAATAGCAAGTATGATAATGTATAATCAATTTCATATAATTAAAAAAAATAAATACATTGATAAAATATAATTTGAAAAAAAATTGCAATTAACTTTATCATACTTAATTGGTGTTTGGTATCTCGCTGGAAGTAGGGGATGTGTATATAACATTTTGAACTTTGTTTTTACGTAAGTTAATTCTGTATGCAATTGTACGTTGATATTATCATCTGTTCATTAACTTTGACACGCTTACAATCAATTCGATGACCTTTTGAAATCACTATTCAAAAGATTTACACTGATTGAGATTGATAAGTTGTTGTGCACGGACACATCAACACCTACTAAATTCAACATAATCGATTTTGTCAGGATCACCCTGTATTTCAATTAAATCTAATTAGACGAAGGAAGATATATAAACAGTATTTCTCTTTAACTATCGTGCCGAATCTGAATATATTTTTTTATGCCGAGATTGACAGGATGTGCGATGTACTAGCAGTGATTTCTCTTCGGTGACATGTTTGCCAAAATGAAAATAATCGCCGGCACCTTTAAATCGAGGCCTAATGGGCAGTCTCCAAATTTTGAGAGATTTGTTGATAGGAGCCATGTGGAGTAGAAAGAGAGGACTCAATTATAGTTATGAGTTAACTCTGTGGTCACTCCACCAGACTTACGACACTGATCCAGCTTCCAGATAAGCTGTGCGCATCTCGTATCTGTCTACTGACATAGATGACCTTTAATCCGATAATCTATACGCTTTCCAAGCTCTGTAATTGGTTACATTTTTAAAATACCTCCCTTGACATTTTATGTTCTTTATATAGATATTCAAATTCTGGCAATATCTTTTCTTTGCTAACACTGAAGTTACTCTCATTTTTAACTGATCTTGATATTTAAAGAAGATATATTGAGACAAATAGTGAATAGATTTTTTTTTCTTTGAGTAATGTGGAGGAAGAAAATCCTCTATTCAACACAAAGTCTCTAAGTTCTCATTTACTTGATTGAAGTTTGAAGTTGATGTTTATCAGCTTATTCTTAAGACATTCCGCAAAGACTGCGTTGATCGCTCTGTGAACATTTACGCAACAAATAACATGCACAAAAAATTATGTTTGCGCAAAACAACTCCCTTTGGGTGTAAGACTGAAAGAGCAATATACAATCAGCTCACCATGCCGTCAAATATCGTAAAGAAAGATGTCAGTAAAATAGTAATATTGCCAGAAAAAAAGATGTTAATGTTTATTTATTTAACTTTATACAGGACGGCACACTAATGCAAAGGCACTGATTTTATTTTCTGATCCAGATAAAAATCACAGGATTCCTTTAAATGCAATAATAAATATATTCTACTCTTTTATAGTGACAATCTTTTTATTTTCAAATTTTACATATTTGATGATACCAATTATAGTATATTATTATATTATTATTAATAATATTTATGATATTTCTTTTTATTGGTGTATTTTCATTTGTAAGTAGAATTGAATTGAATTCTATTGATTCAATAGATATTATTGGTATTATTTTAATTAGGTCATTATTACTGTTATTATTGTATATATCATTTTATTTCTTATATTCTTGTTGTTAATTGGCTTAGAATAATATTATTATTATTATAATTTATTATTACACGTTAGTGACTTAATTGGCAACAATCAAAATGGAAACTCAACTAGAATTTAAAAGATATATAAGAATAAACGTTATAGTGTAATCAAAATATAATGTTAAAGGTTGTTTCTCAAGATATTGAAGTTAACAGATTTATCATTAATCTTATTCTTAATAATGTTAACATGATACCTATTAGTTTCTCAACTGAATGCATTTACCTTTCATTTGTTCCACATTATTGCAGTACCTACATATCAAGTCCCAGTTGCCTCATTTTATACTAATAAAACCTGATTTTCTAATTTTGTTCGAGACCTGTTTCAACAGCTGCATTGTAACCTAGTAAAGCTAGCTACAACTGTTTAGACAGAAATCCCGCACCTCCCTTATGACACTGGTCTTGTTTGTTTTGGTTCACTCTCTGGCTTTGGAAAGTGCTTTTCTTGCTACTGTGGAAATATGGGAAAAATCCCTCAGTGGACTTCCTATTTTTTGTTTTGTAACTACGGACGGATGTGCAATTTGATGATAAAAACACTTCTATAAAAGTCATGTCAAAAATAATCTACTCTTTGAAATGAGATCTGTCATTACACATTATGGTATATTAGTATCCAAACCACAAAACCAATTTGATCTCATTTCAAACAAAAATAGGATATTGATAGATATTAATAATAATAATAATAATAATAATAATATGAATTTATATAGCACATTTTCAGAATACTGTTCAATATGCTTTACATAAAAATTGATAAAATAGAATAAAAACAGGCAGCATTATACAATCAGATTACAAATTATTATGTAGAGAAACTACAAAAATATACTTAAAATAATTAAAATTGGAAAATTCAGTTAAAAATTAAATATTGTTAATTACCTAACAAGCTATAATATATAATTAAGAATTATTACAATTATATTCCTACCTAAGTATAACATAGTCTTCACATAGATTGAATTTAAATCTTGATACAATACTGTAATTGAAAGTTAGGCTCTAGCCTTTGAGTGAGTAGGCATACAGATCCACTTTGGGAGCACAAAGCTAAATTTCATAACGTATCATTTAGATAGATGGATAGAGGAAAATTATAA